AACATCTTAATTGTAAAAACATGTACAAAAGTTCCCTTATAAAGTGCATGAGCAACAACAGTCCTATCTCCTTTGCTAAATGATTTTAGAAATTTTAATTTTTTTGTCATAAGTCTTCAAAAGTTTGAAGGTATCAACGAAATAATTTCAATAAAAATTAACGAAATAATTTCAATAAAAATTCTTCTTTTTCAGTATCACACCATACTAAAGTACATATTAACTAGATTGCTAAAACGGTGGATGAACAAGAAACAATGAGGTAATTTCCATCGATGAGACCAATCTCCGCCTACAACATGGTCATATTTATAACTTCTTTAAATGCATGTGTCCTTATAAAGAGAGAAGTTATACAAAAACTATAGTCTTAGTGTTCACAAACATCTTTAAATACATGATTCTTAGCAAAGAGAGGTTATAAAGAAACTACAAACTTAATGTTTCTAGCTTGTTTAAATGCACAAGTCTAAACAAAAGAGAGGTTATACAAAAACTACGTGATAGCCAAGGCACAACAAACTTGAATGTGAAGAGTTCTCTCTCGTTCTAGCTTGTCTTTTCTCATATGTGGCACGTTGTAGTTATTCTTGGTGATGGATTCAAGATTTTCAGTAAGGGAGTTTGAAAAACAAAAATGTAGTTCCTGAGATTTGAACTTGGAACTTCTAGGCCCGCTAGTCTTCAGGCCTCAGGAGATTCAAAATCCATACATCAATGTTGAGTCTGGTATACTCCATCGTAGGTTTTTAAGCATGTTCATATTAATGAAAATTGGTTGTTTCTGTCCAAAATCTGAAATGTTACATCTCCTTTTTGAAGAATAGGAGCCAAACCCATATAGATTTTGCAGACGTAAGAAAATCATAATAAAATTTATGTTTATGGCTACATGCAATTCAATAACTGTAGAAGTTAAGTTCAGAGAAAAAGGTGAGATGGATTTAACATCTTCAAGGATGACTGGTTTGCACCTACTGAAGGAAGAAAGGAGAATGATAGGTTTTCAATTGAACGAGTAAAAGAAGAGGAAGACAAAACTAGCATGGGAAAAAATAGAGTGAAAGATGCATCAATTTCGTATAGCTGGAAGGTGTAGATGATACTAGATTAATTTGAAAAAGGGAAAGCGGAAGTTATTTAACTAATCTTGTATTATTCCATATGACTAAGTCTAGGAGACTGATAGGGCAATGCTTTAGTTGTGCGTCCCTTCTAAATTCCAGCATACAATTTTGGTTTCCCTGGTAATTTCAAGTTCATACTATTTAGGAGATACTGAGATCTGTGATTTTATATTCTAAACCGTATGTTTTGTGATTACAGGTGGAAGGAATGAAAGTCCATGCCAATGAGGGGGGAGTAACACAAACACGTGGTGGTGTTTATTGGTTGATCTTGCCTGCTGGATGTAATACTTTCTTTTTAAAAATTCCAAAATCTTACTGAAGTGCATGCTTATTTCGTTTTTAGAAGACAGTGAAGTGTTCCCTATAAATTCCTACTCAAGTTCCCTGTTAATTGCTTTGTCCATTTAATTTCTGGCTCCCTTTTATTTTTCTAATTAAAGTTTACTTTCCTGAAGATCTTGGTTCGTCTTTTTGGGGGATGGTTCTCATACTTGCATCGACAAATCTTCTCACTGCAAAGATTGCTGCTGGTTGTTTCATTGCTGCTCTTCTCATTGTGCTCTTTATTGCCAAAAATGTAAGGAACTAAGTTTTTTTTTAAAAAAAACTTGAAATTGATCTTGTACAGCAGATAATTCACTCTTTACATTATTTTTTCACAAGATAGTATAATATGTCCATATTCCCAAATTTTATGTTGTAGATCTAGTCTAAAATTATTATTTTCTTAAAAAGGACTTCAAGAATCTTACATGGTTTACTTTCTTGAACAGTGGACACTGCGAGGACTTTGCATAGGTTTGTATATTCAGGATCTTGATCAGTGTCAATACTTGATATGCATTTGCTTCTGTAATTAGTCACTGATCCCATAGAGTGGACTTGCCAGGATTTATCATTTTTATTGCTGCAATATGGGTTCTGCAAGAACTAACAACAGTTCGCATTCTTCGATATGTAATTCTCTTCATAGGTATGGACTTATCTAGTCTCCCACCTTCTCTGCATTTTAGTTTTGGTTGTTGTGTTGCTTACATTCCTTCTTGGTGAATTGCAGGTGTTATGAACAGCTTGTTTTCAGTTTATGGTAAAAACTACCCATTCTCTAGGATCTAATTTTTCCCAGATTGCAAAATCTGACATATATATGACAATGCAGATATATATGATGACTTAATATCTAGAAGAGTGAACTCAAGTGATGCTGAGAAGTTTGCGGAACTCTGTCCCTGTCCTTGTAATGGTGTTGGTTGGGGAATTATCTGGTTAGTCGTAGCTTCAAAGTGAATTTGAACTGAAGAATGGTAGGCATTTTTCTCATCATTTGTGAATCACAAAATCCTTCTTTTGCTTGGACTGTTTTGCAGGGGGATGATATCTTTTATATTTCTTTGTGGAGCGATGTACCTTGGACTTGTCATTCTCTCATGAGGTATTATCTTCGTTGCTGGTCTAATTATGGCTTTACTTCCTTCTGGTTTTGTTGGATTGTTATCTGGCTTTACTTAATTCCAAGTGCGAACCTTCAAGTTCAGTTAATAGATACTAATCACTTACCAGGTTCTCAATACGTTCATTGTTATCACGTTCTCCAGAAATTGGGTTATTTTTTATTAGTTTCTCTACTGATTGATTAAATTCTAGCATTTTTCAGCAAACATAGCATTTGATAGTTTGTTGTGCAATAAACAACCATATTAATCGGATCAAAGCGCCCTTCACCTACTTGCATACCCATTCTCATTTTAAATTTTTTAAGTAAAATGGAAAGTGATGATTTATATAACCGATTCCAGGTAAGCTTGGTATTGAGCCATAGTTGTTATTGCATTAATGAACCCTCTCATATAGTCTTCACCAGCACGATGTTTTAGTGACTAAATAAAGGAAGTAAAGAGAAGTAGAGTTATCTATTGGCACTTCTTAGATATAAACACAGAATAAATGCCATGGAAAACTAACTCAGAGTAGCGATATGTGCTTAGCTTTTCCTTCAACTTTGTTGCCTTATTTTCCTCTTTCGATTTAAGGTTTCTCTGAACCAGAATCCAATTTATGATTTGAACTTGATCAATTCAACTTTTAAGGTTCTTAGCGCCGATCACATTGTAGCTGCTCAGAACATGTAAACACCTTGACTTCTTCACAATCTGATTCAGAATATGTTAATCTTTTCAGGTTCATGCAAATGATGACATTTAAGGACCTTACAAATCCTGAAGAACAAAGTTAGCTGCATTTGTTAATCTCATATTCATCTCCATTTCTTCAATGATGTTGTATAGTTTTTAGACATCTATTTTTGTTCCCTATGGGCTCATTCTTTTACACCCTTTCTTTTGTGATGGGGCTAACATAGTCATGACTCTGTTTATATACCAAAATTCAAAGTTTATCTTACCTTTATATTGTGGAAATTGATTGCTTAGCATGTGTATGCCCTTGTTTTACTAGTGATAAGGGTTCTTTCATGCCTGACATGTAATGATTATGTGAGCGTTTAAGCTGGTCAAACTAACATATAAATATTGTTTTGGCTTTTACGAGTTAAGCATCAAAAGTGCTTACAAGTTAAAATAAGCCAAAAATCATATGTTAGTGACTTCTACTTGTGATTTTTCAGTTTATAAGCATTTTTAGTTTGATTAATATTTTTCACTATTTCGTTCCTTATATATATATATATATATTTTTGCAATCTCAAAAATTCATTTCCAAAATGAAATCTCTAACTTCCTTTTTCATTCATTTTCCACAATTTGTCTTTCTTTTTTTTCTTTTTTCTTTTTTTTGGTAAAGATTAGATATTTCTATGGGCGTGTTTGGTACGAAGGAAAATATTTTTCTAAAAAATATATTATTGTTTCAGTTTATAAGCACTTTCAGTTTTTTGGTCTTAAAGATTAGATATTTTCAAATAGAATATTTTTTGTAAATAGTTTTAAGGGCATTTTACTTGTGTAAAAAATAGCTTGAATTTTTAAAACTCTCTCTTGGTAAATGGATCTAAGTAAGATGTTGTGACCACTTTCTATAAACAGAAAAAATGTTGTGAACACTTCCCATGAAATAGGCTGTGTGGCTGAATTTTAGTTAAATTTTATTATATGGTTTTTTTAAGTTGGGCACTTTGTACTATGCAAGAAAGTTGGGCAATGTCTAGTCCATTAATAGTGGCTATAAAAAAAAAGAAATTAAAAGATACTTCTTTTTGTGCTTGCCTTTCTTCCTTTTTTGTATTTATATGTTTTTATAATGTATCTCTATTTTATAATTTTATGTATTTGTGTATTCAATATTAAATATGTATTGATGTACAGCATCAATTTCATTTAATGTATCATGTATGCAAACATCAATTTGATGTATTTGGTATCAATTTCATATGGTGTATCTAATGTCAATTTCATCTAATATATTCAACATTCGATATTAATTTCATCTTATGAATTTAGTATTAAATATCTAGTGTATAAAAATACTTTGATATAACCTATGTATAGACATAAGTATCTGGTATTAAATATGTTTGATTAAAAAAAAAGATGAAAGGAAAATGAGTTTTATAATGAAAATAGTAAAAACAATAAAATATGTATCGAATGTATCATGTATCCAACATCGATTTGATGTATTTGGTATTAATTTCATATTATATCTAATGTCAATTTTATTCGATATATCCGAAATAAATTACCTAAACCGCCTTCCAACCCCTTTACCATCTCACCCTTACTATCCCAAAATCACTTTGTACAACTAGTAGGACTTGAACACACGACTTCAAAAAACTTTTACAATATCTTAACAACTAGATTAAATTTTTGACTTATCTTTATCTCTAAGAGGTGTCAGTGTGTATATGTGTGTATACATATATAATTTTTCTTTGTTTTTTGGTCACATTGGTTAGTTAAAATTATCAATAGCTTGCCATGTGCAACAACTTTCTTTTTTTTGTTACGTGCACTCTTTAAATTCAACTCTCTTTGTTAGACTCTTCTAAATTCTTGGGCTCTCTACTTGAAACATGGCCTTCTCTTCTTCTTGTTTTTGCCACTTTTCAATTCCACACAAGGTATGTTATCTCCATTACTACAATATTACTTAATTACTCTCATTTTGAATTACCTTTTGTTAAATTTCCTAATTTGGTTCTCATTTTAAGGCTCCAATAACTTGTTCTTATTGAGTATTGACTATTGAATTAGTTTTTTTTTTTTATAAAAAAAAATTTCCTCCGGTTTTTGGTATCTACATGGAGAGATGTGGATGTAGACCGATGGTATCATGTTTATCTGAACTCAATATATTTTATGTGACATATACATTTATGTGTAAAAGTTTGTAGTAAGTGATAGATATGAACTCATGACTTTTATACTGTATTTTTTTTAAATCTTTGAGTAAAAATTCTAGCTCTACACGTTTAGTAAAATTAAAATGACAAAGTAAAAGATTATACAAAGAACTCACTATACATGAAAATAGAGGGTACCACTTAACTTTTCTTGCTCATTTATATTATAATTGGAAAATTTAATAATATATTTTATTAATTAAAATTTAGAATTATTTTATACAACTAGCTGCAGAGGAACCAAACTGCCCCTTTTGGTCATGGATCAAAGAGCTCTGTTCTTTCAAGGCAACAATATTTTCTTGGAGGATCAAGAGTCATTACAAGTCCATATCTTCCAAAAACTATTTTGCAAAGAAGGAGCTCAAGGGTGTCTGCTTCATGTAATCACTTTCCTTCTTCATTCATTAAATATAGTTTTATCAATTCTTTTCTTTTCCTACTCGAACGATGATGATACTTCAAGTAGGTAAAGAAAATAACTGATAGTTAGGTGTATTTTGGTAAATAGTTGATGACAGTTCATGTAGATAATTCGCATACTTAATAATTCAAATATGAAACTAAAAAAAAAAGAATACTTTAAGCGTGTATTTGAACAGGGATAAGACACAAATATCCCTAAAATATAACCGAAATCCCAGAGACGCACCTTAACTAAACTAAGGTCTAATTATCCTAATGAACTCATTTTTCGGTAACTACACAGTTTGGCTTATGTAGTAGTTGGCACACTCCATGACTCCACACAGTTGAGGCGCGTGAGCGGTATTTGGACGCTACGTAAGTTAAAAAGGTGTAAAAAATTAAAAAAAAAAGTGAGTTCAAGGGTAATAGGACCTTAATTTAGTTAAGATTTAAAATTGAAATTTCGATCATACTCTAGGGGATATTGGTACAAATAATTTTACTAAATAGTATTGAAAGAAACTGATAAATTTTCTTAATTTATTAAATACAAATAATCTTTTATTTTATTTCTACGTTAATATAAAAGTCAAGTAAAATAAAACGATACTGGTAAATTATAAAATATTTGGGTAAATTAAGTTTAATCTCCTTCTTTTGCAGGGTTAGCAAGTTGTGAAGTTGTTAAAAGTGTATTCCCATTGGGAACAATTGCAGTTCTTCCCTTTTATGTCTTTATGGTTGTGGCACCTAAAGCAAAACTTGTAAGTAACATTATCAATATAAATAATTTTGTAGTGTTAACTATTTTGAAAAAAGATAAAACTTTTAATTTAAAAAATAATAATTTTGAAATATCAAGCCAAAGAAAATATTGACAATTGCTTAATTGTCTCATAAATATCATTGTTTAATTTTATCATATGCTAATTGCAGACCCAAAAAATGATGGAAAGCAACATCCCTTATATTGTGCTTGGACTTTTGTATTCATATCTCTTATACCTTTCTTGGACACCAGATACATTACAACTATTATTTCCTTCTAATACATCTTGGATTCCAGAGGTTTGTTCAACTATATTTTTTACGGATTCGGAATTTACGTTTACCGTTCTTAAAATTTATTAAGTTTTGAATATATTATTTATATATATACACATTGTATGAAAATTTTAAGGCATAATACATATATTTGGATCCTAAACTTGACTTCAAATTTTAACTTTGACATTTAACTTTTATAATGCACAAACAAGCACTTTAACTGTCCAACTTTTAAATAAATAAACACATGAGTCCTACATGGCACAATACATGTAGGATGAAAAATAACATGTAGGATGACACGTAGGACATGTGTGTCAATTTGTTCAACTTTATACAAGTTTAAGTGTTTACTTGTGCACACCCAAAGTTAAAGGTCATAAATGTAATTCGAAGCCAAGTTAAATGGCCTATTTATGTATTATGCCAAATTTTAATATTGTTATAGTTTTAGTTAAAGTTATTGAGTTTAATCAATCACGTAAGTTAATTAGTGTATTTACCCCTAGATTCTATCTCGATAAAAAATCATCTATATTCGGTGTTTACATCGGATCATATTAATAAACTGAAATTATTTATTAATCAATTACTACTTCTATCTCAAGTTATATAGTACTATTCAAATTTTTAGATTTAAACAAATTTATCATTTTGATTGTTTGTTTATGCATATTTTTTAAATATTTTAAATTGTCAATTATTGTGATTTATAGTACTTTTAATATTGTTTCAAAATATATAAATTTTGTTAAAAAAGAAAAATTGAAGATTCTTAACATGAATTCACACTCAAAATTAAATTGACAAAGTTCAAACGATGCCACATAATTAAAACAAAAGGAATATCATTTAATGATATAAGCGTAGATATATTTATTAAATTGATATAAACATGTATATTAATATTATTACCTTCCATGTGTTATGTTTTACATCAAACTCCATTCATTTAGGTTTTTCTTTTCGCCTTTAATAACATGCTCTTATAATTGTTTAAATATTTTTATAATATATTTAAGATCATAAAATTTAATATCTATTTTTTAAAATTTCGTGACTAATTAAATATTATTCTAACATTGTATTGTCATTCAGTTGGCTGGTATAGCTAAGATGTTTTCCAGGGAGATTACATTAGCATCTGCATGGATTCACCTCTTGATTATAGACCTTTTTGCTGCTAGGTTGGTCTATCTTTATCTGTATTTATTTTTTAAAATCTTACTTTAGAAAAAATAACAAAATTTATTCTTTATATATATATGGAAAGATTTAAAATATTCACTTAAATATGTATTGAACACTAATTTTGATTTTTGTTAAGTTTGTGAAAAAAGAATAATTAATAATTTAAGAATAAGGCACAAGTATCTCTATATTTATAATCGAAATTTCAGAGACAAATTTTAATTAAATTAAGGTTCTATTATCCCCTCTTCTCCGCACTTGAACTCTTTTTTTGTAATTTTATACATCTTTTAGCTTACGTGCATACTCTGTAAATCCATATAGTTGAGGCACGTGGTAGATGTTTGGATGTCACGTAAATCAAAAAGGTGTACAAAATTATTTTTAAAAAAATTAAGAAGTAATAGAACTTTGGTTTAACTAAGATGTGTCTCTAAAATCTCGATAATAATCTAATGAATACTTTTGTTTTATCCCAATAATTTATGTTTATTAGTTTAATTAATCAATAAAAATAAAAGGAAAGAAAGATTAACCATAATCATTAAGAAAATACCATCAAATCCTAAGAAAAACTGCACCATGACACTAAAAAGATATTAACATAAATTATACCTTGAAATTATCAAAATTATACCTCTAAATGTGAATTCTCACTAATATCTTTCTTTGTTATGATCTTGTTAAAGTCTAATCGATAGACTTAGATAATATTTGACGCAGACTAAAAATGTTAACTCTTTTTAAGTTACTCATTTTTATTTTTTATTTTTAAAAAAATGGAAAAGGATCAAAAATACTCTTGATCTATTCGAAATAGCTTAAATATACCCTTAAACTATATTTCCGCTCAAATATACCCTTCTCATTAAACTATAGGTCAAAAATACCCTTCTTATTAACACGATGTGTTAATCGCCACTTGGATTCCATGTGGATACCACATAAGCCAAAAGAGTTCCACTAATGCCACGTAAAAAATAAACTTATCCTTAATTTTTCCCAATTTTCTCTATTTCCCTTAGTATTTAGAAACGATTTCACTGAAAAACATAGAGCCCCTTTCCCTTAAAACTTATGTATTTTGTGAAATCGTTCTAAGAAAATGGAGAAATAAGGAAAAAGGTAACTATATTCTTCATTGAAATTGTTTCTAAATTCTACGAAAAATGGAGAAAATTGAGAGAAATTAGGGGTAAGTTTATTTGTCTACGTGGCATGAGTGGAACTCTATTGGCTTATGTGGCATGCCATGTGACATTCACATGGCATCTAAGTAGTGTTTAACCGATTCTGTTAATGAGAAGTGTATTTTTGAACCTATAGTTTGATGGTAAGAATATATTTGAACCGAAATATACTTCAAGGGTATATTTGAGTTATTTCTGATAGTTCATGGATATTATTAACCTTTTTCCGTTTAAAAAATAATTAAAACTCTTATTAACTTTTAGTTTTTTTTTTCTTTTTCAAAACAGGCAAGTTTATCATGATGGATTGCAGAATGATATAGAAACACGACATTCTATTCCAATGATATTATTGTGTTGTCCCATTGGACTTGTTACTCATCTTGTCACCAAAAAGCTCTATTCATTAAGGGAGATAAAAAATAATTAATGTTAAAACAAGTATTATTTCATGTTTGATAAGAATACCATACGATATTTTGTTTCTCAATTGTAATTAAATTATCACCAACAAATTCAAGGAAATTTAATAATTATAATAACTACACATTACGAATGATCCAGGAAAAGAAGTTCAAACATAACTATAGTACACTACATCAACTTGACAGCCCTTTCAATTTTCACTTGGGTTTATTTTCATCCAAGTTCTTCAAATTAGAACATTCAATATGATGTTCCAATTCAATCTTTTAATCGTGAATCATCAATGACACATGAATTGAAAGTTTACTGTTGATATTCAATTTAATAACCACAAGATAATGAGCCAAGACGACAACATTTGAAGAATCGACGTCCACCATTCTCATGGATTATAGCAGGAAAAAAATTCACTAACTACTGACATTTTCCTCTATATACTAATAAAAAAGAGGAGACAAATATATTAGGTGATCATTTATATCTCTCCTATCTTTGATGAACAGAGTTACCTTGTACTTGTTACTATTGGAGGTGACAAATATTTCGTGGAATTAGTTGAGATGTACAACAACTAATCCAATGGGAGATAACATATATCCCGTGAAATTAGTCGAGGTATGCAGAAACTAGCCCAGATCCACCACAGGTAGGATGTGAGAGCAGTGTGATAGGTGACTATCCATGGTTCGAAAAACACTTTTAGTAGGAAGCGACTCTTCCAACGGCAAAATCACCATTGACTCTATTTACTATTATGGCATATCAGTATATCAAGATGCCAATATAAAATTTTATTTTTATTTCATACGTCCTCCAACGAAACTCACGATAATCCAAAAAAGGATTTTAATAAAAACAGAAAGAGATATATATTGCCAACTCGGTTAATAAAGTAATGATAGGATTGAGATAAATATAAGTCCCTACAAATATGGAATGAAAGTAATAGGCATTGTATATAAATAAGGAGTTTTCTTTTTATTGTTAAAAGGAAATTAGGCATTTGCCATAATTGTAGGAAGATAGAAAAATACTAATTAGTTGTTTGTTTATCAAAAGTGTGTAATGGGGCTTTGCCGTTCCCTTGATGCTGACTGAAATTGGGTTACAGCCACATTTTATCCGATGGGTTCACTTATTTGCCCCAAACCTCGTCGGCTTGGGAATATCAATACCCATTCTAACTGCCAACCTTTAAGGTGATTTTATTTTTATTTTAAAATTTATAATCTTATTTTTCAAGATTTTAATGACCCATGTATGTTTATGATCTAGTGTTTAATGGGTTGTTCTTACTTTTTTTTTTAATGGTGGGAAAAGAAATCAAGCTGAGGTTTTTATTTCAAAAGGGGGTGAAGAACTTTTTGATCTCATTAGTAAAGAGGTTAGATTTTCTTTTCATGATTATCAATTCACCCTATTGTATTATTTAATTGTTGTCTATGGTGATGTTATTATTGCTTATGTCTTCATAATGTTGTGATATTGTTTTCGTTAGTCAATCAGAAACAGTCTCTCTGCATTCCTCTACATTGGGTAGGTTGTTGTTGAATGTGAATCTATAGGGATGTTTTAATTCCTTGAGATAGTTTTGTTTTTTTCAAAAAGGGAGGATTTTTAAATGAGGAGGGTTGTGATCAATGTTGCGAATAGTGATCCGGCTGATGATGATGAAGTAAGAGAATAACTGTGATGAATCTTTGAATATTGAATCCGGCATGAATAGAGCATAATGGATATAGAGTATTTATGTAGCTGTTCTCCATCTAGTTTGGGATTCAAGCTAAGTTAATTGATTAGATCGTTATGTTGTTTCTATAGGAATTGACATAATTACTTAGGGATGAATCTTATCGTATATAAGTTTCTCTGCATGAAACTAATTCAACATGTTGTCTGTCAAAGCTTCAGAAGCTAAGGTGATATGTATACAGACTAATACGAGTGTCTTTACGCAACTAAACTTGCAAAATAGGGGCGGAGCCAGGTAGGGGAAAAGGGTTCATTTGAGTCCCGTTGGTGGTAGATTACATTGTATATACACGAATTAAATAATTATATAGTAGATTTTAAATCCCCTTGGCATGTTTGTATATTTACTTCTTTCTATTTTTGAAACCCCTTAATGAGAAATCATGGTTCTGTCATTGCTTGCATATTTTGAGTAAGTTGGGTTTGCATATATCTATATAATCGAAAATATCGTAGCCTGTTTGCATATTGTCAATACGAAAATATCCTCATTGTTGGTTTCAGTTCTCATTTATGATGGCTCAATAGCTATGTGAGTGGTGTTTATGGTATGAGCCTCACGGAGAGGTGCCAATTGACACGTGATTTTACTAGTTCAACGAAGGTAATCAGTCAAGTAGTTGCCCTACTAGAAGGGGATCTTGAGTGGCTAACCCGGAGCTCCTTCTTCTTGGTGGTTTTGATACTTAAATTATTTTTCTTTGAATAGTAGCTTTGATTCTTAAGGGGGGTTGTTTGGTAGCTGGTTTAGAGTTAAATTATGCATAAATTATGAGGCAATCTATATTATTGTTTTACACAGGATAGAAGGTGGAATAACTAAACCCTGCATAACTCTAACCAGTCACCAAACGATAAATGATTTTAAGGTGTCAAGGTGATGTTTAACTGCACAGAAAATATTCAATCCGCAAGTGAAGTTAAACCCTGTTTCATGAGACAAATTGGAAATTGAGGGTAGTTGAATCCAATCAAAGGATAACTGTAATGTTCCCGTCTTTCTGTTTATCCCATTCCTTTGCCCCATCATTTCATCGAATATCTTATTAACCATCTCAATATCGAGCTCTTATGAGGACACTAGATGCGCACTTGCAAAATATTTTTAAAAGGAGCCTTATGGAAACATAATTATGGTCTTGTATGTTTTCTTAATGAAGCATAATTTATCCCAAACCCAAAGCATGTTTTTGAGATGAACAGAAAACTAGAAAAGTAATAGATCTTCAGTTCAAGTCATGTTTTATACCAATTGCATAAGGTAGAAAAAATTGAATTTGTTGGTTATTGTTCTTTCCTGCGGCGTTTAATGATACTCAGGAAATGTTAGGTTGGCAAATGCATTTAATTAATATGACTTGTGTTATGATGGTATCTTTAGTAGATTTGTTTAGTTTATTTAGACTGTATTTTTTTCCGTTTTGCTGATCACATTCTACTGTCAGTGTACCTGTGTCTACATGTATATGCTATGTTGCTCGGACTCTTCAAAAACTTTGACGGATGCGTATCAGATCCTCCAAAAGTAGTGTATTTTTGGTGGATCCAACACCGGTGTAGGCATTTGGAGAGTCCCAAATACTGTATATAGGTGTTTCTTTTGTTGCTTGCCTACTGTTTATGGAAAATGTCACAACACATTCCACTGATTCAACCTTGCCACTTCTTAAAATGATCTTCATGGTCTAACAGGATGACATAGCTGCAAGACAATATGCATCAGATTTGTCATCATCCCCTCCATTCTTCTCTGGTTCACCGCCTTGCAGGGTTATGAATCCATTAATCCATGATGCTCAATTCTCAAATGAAAAGAAACACCGCGTATCTTCATCACCAAGTCCATCTACTTCATCCTCATCTTCTCCATCATCAAGTTGTAAAGGAAGGTGTGCAAGGGCAAGACTCGGGAAACCTCACTCACCAAATAGAGTCGAGGGCTTTGACTGCCTAAACTCTCAAATGGCTGCTATGGCATAAATCTTCCTTACTGAACGGTGTATAAAGGAATATCGACAATGAACTCTGTATATAGAATATTCAACTAGAAAATAAGAACAATTTTTTGGAGAATTTAGGCTAAAGTTTTGGTTTTTGCTTTAATATTACTGTGCAAAGATGTCTCTCTTTTGCACAGTGAAAATAAGGTGGGTTGAGAGGTGTGTGATAATTTTGTTTGGTTGCATATGTAAATGCAATCCATTGTTTTTGGTGGCCCAAATTTTTGATAATTTGAAATTAAACTAGTAGTATTGTATAATGTATATATGTGAAATTTTGGAATAGAAAATATTGATGTAAGTTTTGTTTTTCTCCCCAACATTCTTTCTTAAGGACTCTGGTGTCTTGATTCAAGTACCTCGACTAATTTCACTGTCACCTCCTATCAATAATAAGTACTAGGTTTGTCAACCAAAGTTATGACAAATAGGAAGAATCATTGAGTGTTTTTGTCTAGGTTGAGATTTAAACATATACTTCACGGCTCTCAACTACTTCATTGATCATATTTTGCGTCACTTTTGATTGACCATCTGAACTTTTATTTTATTGATTTGTATTCGGTTCTCCACCTAATCTCCTACCTCTACTCCAATTTGCATTTAGGATTGAAGATGTTATAAAACACAAAAAGTCATATAAACCACAAGAATCAAAATTTACAAACAAAGCACCAAATCATTATCATATAATTAGGTACTCATAAATCCAAAACATAAACCGAATAGTACAAGACACAAAGAGTTTGTTGGAATTAAGACAAAAAAGAAAAAAGACCTAAGTAGCATTTAAAAACAAAGTGTCCCTAAAGACAATTTTGTTCCTAATATGAAACTTAGTAGCCTTCTGGCTTGTAGGCAATGAAACTGATACACTGCACTTGACGCACATTGTCGAATCCAATGATTCTGACCCATGCTTGTGGGTATGCCTTTTTAGCCTCTTGAACCTCAGCCAACACTTGGGTTGCATCAGTGCACCCAAACATAGGCAACTTCCACATGGTCCAGTACCTGCGGATTCAAAATTTTAACTTTTTAACTTTATAAAAACTTAGAAAAAAGGGACAAATATATCCGAACTATCGTAAATAGTATACAGATATTTTTCATCATATTTTTGGGACATTGATGCTTCTGCGGTCCAAAAACTACAACATATATATCAACGTTCTAGTTTTTGGACGGCAGAAGTACCAATGTCCCAAAACTATGACCGAAGATATCTGCATACCACTTATGATATTCTAAGGGTATATTTATCTTCTTTTTTTTCCCTTTTTATACAGACTAGTGATGTTCATAGTATGTTTTATGAGTTTTTTTTTTTTAATAAACGAGTTCGAAACATGATATTTATATTAATTTTCATGATTCTCGTACCTATACCTACGATTTAACTAAAAAAAAGTATGAATGAATTCTTTAACTTATGAATCCGCTACTGACCTTCCATCATAGTATCCTGGTGACTTGTTGTTCTCACGGTAGACAAATCCGTGCTACACATAAAAAAAACATTGAAGTGTTAAATATAAATCGTATCTAAATATAAAAATATATCATTTTTCGATAAAACAAAAGTAAATATGATATTGACCTCAGTCTCAAATTCCAAGCAAGGAACCCATCCATTTTTCAAAAGGTACTCAATTTCACTAAGCAATTGCTCGTCAGACAAATCAGGAAGGTATGAGAGTGTCTCGTACTTCTTCATGTTAATTGGTGGCCACACCTATACACATATCCAAAAAAAAAAAAGAAAAAAAAGTTATCGACTTTCTGAAAATATTGTTACACTCTTATCGAATTATCTAAAAATGCACTATTGTAAAGGATTTAACATACATTCATCAACATTTCGAAAAATTAAGTTGTATATATACATAATAATAATAAGATAGAGATATTTTGAGTTCATCAATTCTAGATCTTAAATTTGTCTTTAATTTTGAACGTAGAGATTATACGTAGGATACACTTTTCATGTGTTTAATATAATCAAAGATAAGTTAAGCAATTGGATCTTTTAACTTCTATGAATTATCAGATAATTTGAAAGATACTCTCTTTTTTTAATTCTTATGTGGAGGTACTTAATGGTAAATGGAATTTTAAGAATAAACAGAGATTTTCGTAGTTTATGGTCTAAGATAATATAAATACTTATGTAATTATAAATCATCTCATTAAAGATAAAATAGAAATTTTTTTCAAACTTAAATCAATACTGCTATTAAATATAAAAATATGTCATTCTTTTAAAACAGACTTAAAAAGAAAAATAATAATGGCATAAACTAGATCAGAGGTCAGTAACTACATATACTCATGTTTCAATTTGTTTATATTACTCTTCTAAAGTCTCTTTTTTTTTTTTTGATAATTATCTAATTCTAATTTTTCACGTGACAGTTAACATGTTTGAAATCACAAAATGTAGGATATTTTAATACATTCTACGTAACTTTAATTTAAAACTACAAATTCAAAAGACTTTTTAATTTTCTTAAAAGTTATGTTAAATTAAGATTAAACAAACAAACTGAAACAAAGTAAATCACTCTTTTTTATACTAACTAAAATAAAATAGTACTACCGTCACATAAATTAAGCCAGAGAGAGTAGCTAACATACATATAACCCTTAGATAATTGAATCGAGAAATAAGACAGATTACATGTTACAACATACTAAGAAAATATCAATTTCGGAAAACCGATGAGTGAGTTACCTGCATGCAGCTAACTCTTCCACCATTGCTAGCAATGGAAGTGATGTCAAGGTTTTGCTTCTTTGTAACAGGGAAAGTGGCTGAAGATTTGAGACCAGTGAAAGGTGCAACCATGCTAGCTTGTGTAACATTGCTGCGTGTGGCAACAGCTGCTGAAGAAATGACAGAGGAAGCCATATTGCTTCTTCTCTCTTTTTTTGGTTCAATATGAACCTTTTGATGTCCACTATCCTTTTATATAATGAAATGATAAGGTTTTTGATATGTTATGTGGTTCTTGATAACATTATACAATTACTTAATATCTACATATGAAAGGTTGGAATTTTTTTTAAGTCACCACAATAGAGGTGACACGTGTAAGCACCTCGTTAATCTTATCTCATCCAAGATGGGGGTAGGAAGAGGATATGAATGTATGATTGAGGTTGGTTTTGAGTTTTTTTTTTTTTTTTTTTTTGAGTCCTTCAACTTGTTATTTTAATTTTTTTTTGGTGGGGGAGGAGGGGGGTTGAAATATTTATCATATAGTAGTCCAAAGTAAATTGATAGCTAGAGTACTTGTTTGCTTGCTTATATTGTCCTCAACTTTATGTAATACCATGATTCCAACTTAGACACTCTTTTAAGTTGTAATTTTCATTATTTTCTTTTTTTAGAGTTTTATGTTGAATTCGCATAATTTTCAATCGGATAATACAAGAAAAATAATATTTTAGTATAATTTTATACATGAAATTTCGGGAAGGTAGGATATACGGATTGTTTGTCGGATCAGAGACTTTACTCGTACCTTTGTAACTGTTGATCCCAAATACAGATAGTGACTCCAGAGTTATATATTATACCTATAGAGACTAATATGATTTAGTGTTATTAAAATTAGTATTACTAATTAATTGTAATGCCCCATGAATTCTATGCTAAAGATCCACACCTTTCGCCGTAAGAGTATCAACTTTGAACCAAGTAATGTCCTATTTGTTCATGTGTGTTAAGGTTCGTTACAAGTGTAGGAAGTGTATAGGATTAGCAATTCAGGGCAACTGAATTAAATATGTTTCTCAGTTTTTTCATGTATGTTAGTCAATGTAATATTTAGTAATGTGATTTTTGAGTACTTTTTTTCTAAAACTTTTACATGATCCTCCATAATGACTTGGGGAACAGAACATATAGTCTTACCATGATCATGCCATTTTTTAGCATTTAGTGGTCACTCATTAGGTATTAGGCGATTTTTTTTTAGTTTTTCGTGTGTGGTCAATGAGTTTTAATGGTGATATGATTTTCAACCATTTAAAAAAAAAAAAACTTTGATGGAACCATCCGTAATAACTTGAGAGAACAATATGTATAGCTTCACTATGATTCATGTAATTCTTTTAGCATTTAAGGGCCGCTCAATAAAAATTAGGTGATTTTTTCAGTTTTTCATGTTTGTTAATCAATAAATTTTCTGATGTTATGGTTTTCAGACACTTTTTTATTCAAAACCCTTACATGACTCTCCGTAATGACTTGAGGGAACAATACATATAACCTCATCATGATCCACGCCCTTTTTTAGCATTTAGGGGATAATCAACAAGAGTTTGTTTTGTGTGAGCTAGTCAATGAATTTTTGATGATGCGATTTTGGGCATTTTTTTCTCAAATATTAATTGGACCCTCGACAATGACGTGGGGAACAATATGCAAAGCCTTATCATGATCTGTCACACCCCGAGCCTAAAGGCTTATCCGAAGCGACCGATGATGCTTGAATCGCTAGCATATCTCAAACAATCCTAGTAATGGTCGGAAATTGATTTTCACGATTCTTCCACCATACTAATATTGGAGGTTGAAGTTGTCCTTCTTCATGCCTAATCTTTTCTCATGCCTGATTGAAATACAAATCAAAATCATTATTAGCAGTAGATTCAAGCTCAAGATATCCATCCATCCAATCATCCGTATCATCACTTTTAGGCTTAGAAGATGGAGGTTTAACTATTGGAATATTTATTTCCATAACTTTATATGCATTATGTAAATCTCTAACTTTTATATAAATGCTACTTTTACATTCTTCAACACTAGAAGTTTCATCATCTTTAATTTCTAAATTTACATAAATCTTTTCAACCATTCTTTCAACACCTCTTAATTTATAATTTGGGTTGAAAGTAGTAGCACTCAAATATATTTGAGGAACATGGAAAAATATTTTTTGAATTTTCAATCATAAAAGCAAGCGAATCTTTAAATTGATCTTTTTATAAAAATTTGCAAATTCAGATGAAATAGCACAGATATTTATTAAAAACAGAAGAAACAGTTGGATAATATTAACCAAAACATGCATTTGTTGTTTAATTAAAAAGACTTAAAAATTCAACAAGTTCTTTTGTACTTTCCCAATCTTCAAAGTCAATTCTTAAACTTGGGTGTGCATTATGAGCATTAAAAACTAATTGTATCGCCTCTTGATAAATATAAGCAACTTGAAGCATTTCAAATAAAATATTACATCTAGTGCATACTTCTTTTGGAACTTTTCTATATGCAAGTCCACATTCATTACAATAATTTTTAAATTCTGTAACTCTACCTTTTACTTTAACTTTAAAAATCCAATTACAAGCAAGTCTAATTTTTTCACAAGAAACTCCAAATTGAGAAATACCATCTTTTACTATTAAATTATCGTGCAGCACACTTAATATGAAAAGAATCATTATCAATTGGACAAAGTCTACTTTTTAAATAATCAACTGCTCTTAAATTCTTAGAAGCATTATCTAAAGTGACACTCATTATTTTATCACATATTCCATAATATTGTAAAATAGAGTCTACTTTTGATGCTATATAAGAACCGATTTTAGTTTCTTCAACATATTTATACGCTAATATTCGTTTTTGCATGTTCCATTCATGGTCAATCAATGGATGGTAAGTGTAAAATAATCGTTACCATTATGACTACGTATCGTATAAGAAGTAATAGATAATCTACCATCATAATAAGCAAATAAACAACAAAGAAAATGACAATATTCTTTTTGATATTTAAAAAAGATCACTTTTAATTGTATTTCTTGGAATACTTTCATAATCTAGGTTATATAATTCTTGAATATAATGAACAAAATCAGGATGTGAAGGGAATGAAAAGCGCAAACCACAAACAACAACCATTTTAGTAAATTCTCTACGATCTTTTTCTTTACTATACGTGTGATGTGTGCTTTGACTAGCCGGATTAGACATATTTAATACACCTTGAACCATACTAGAAGCTCCAACTCCCATAAAACTTTCGGGTATGGGTGTTTTATTTCTATTAGCTCTTTATATATCATCTAGGCGAGCAAATTCTTTATTACACTTTCGTAAAGTGTTCTTAGTCGTCTCGTTCCCCCTTATGTACCCGTAGTTACATGTTTCATGACCAATTTACATTTAATGCAAGTAACAGTAGTTTTTGCCTCATTTTGTATAAAAAAAATTTCATATTAAAGATCTTTTAACACGTGCGGCGGCGACATTTGAAAAAAGTAAGTAAAGGGGGACTTCATTTTGTTCCGGTAATTCGGTAACCAGACTAGTAGGGGTAGGGGCCTCTTCATCTTTCTCATTTAAATTCTACTTCTTCTTCTAATTCTTCCTCAAAATTAGTATAACGTCTATTTAAAGTCTCATGATCTACTTCATTTTCGAAATTAAATTCAATAGGTCCTTGTTTTATTTTAAAAATACTACTATTGTGTTTAAAAATGGGAGAAATTGACTATGTTCTGAAAAAATCAATTAATCTTATTATTTAAGAAAAATCAACTTTTCAAATCACGGAGTCGCCACTTGATCTTTGATAAAATCAAGAAAAATTTCAAAAGATTTAAAAACAGATAAAATCAATTGAAAAATGGTTGGAAGTTCAATGTACATCCCGAGAAGGTGTTAGGCCCTCGGGATGCCCGCTAACTCGTGGTTGACCGGCGATTTGACTAAATGACTTTTAAAATAAAATTTTTTATTTAAGTAAAGAGAAAATTCATTTTAATAGTTTTTTATTTCATTTTTTATTTTTATTTTATTTCTAAAGGGAGATATTTTAGAGGGAATTAATTTAAGGAAAACTATATGGTGATAAAAGTAAATAAAACAAAATAAGTAAATAAAATAGTAAAATTTAAAATAATGAAAAATGGCTACCCTTTAGGAGATTATAAAAATTCTACCAAAAATTAATTAACTCAAACAAACAATAAAGAAAGAGGAAAATAATATTTAAACTTGGGCTTGATTGCCCAAATTCATTCAATTGGGCTCCTGCAAAACAAATTTGTCTTTGGGCCTGTCAAAAATCTTTGCTGAAAAGGATCCTGGCCCATTTCATGTAACAAACTAGAAGTATACACAAGATGTATACTACTGTATACAGTGTATATCCAATCCATTTTTAGACTTTTGAGCCCTGCATTTGTTTGAATATATATTTTCAGCTATTTCCCCTGTATTATTCATATCGCTTCTGTGTATTTGTACCTGTACAATTTTAACCTGTTTAACAATTGTATATTGTCACCCAAAAGATGTATACCAATGTATACAGGTTGTATCCTCTGCATGTATTCATTGCCTATTCCTGCATTTTATCTAAAATAGGTGTCCCTGTACGTTAACCTGCAATTCACATTTTTTACACATATCTAAGGTATATCGTCCCTGTATATTAGTGTATACATGATGTATATCGGCCTGTTTTCCAACTTTCAGAAGTTGAAAGTTCCTTTTCAGCAGCGTATTTTCACTGCTATCAACCCAGATTTTGAATGTGGCCTCCTGTACGTCTTTTGTACTGTATATCAGTGTTTACATTGTGTATATAGCTGGTATACAACTTTCTGTAACACCTATAATATAATTTTCCAGCAGCTTTCCAGGTTCTGACGAACCAGAATCACTTTTCAGCAATGCATTTCTGCTGTTTTCGACCTGAAAATCAGTTTTAGCCTTCTAGACTTTTGAAAAGGGCTGACTCAAGGATTTGTGCAACTCGGAGGAATGCGAGAATGGAGTCCAAAGTGGACTCGAATCGATGTCACACAAAAAAGAAAACAAAAAATAAATTAGCAAGGCTGAATGACAGCATCTAAAAAGAAGAAAGAAAGAAAGAAAAAAAAAGGATTTCACCTCCTTCGGGGCAGCGAGCTGGAGACGAAATGAGCAGGGGAGGCAGCGAACATCCAAGCTTGACGTTAAACTCAGACACCTACG